TCCCAATAGATTCCCCCAGGATATGGACAAGGTACCTCCTCCTCGGGGTCTTCCCAATAGATTCCCCCAGGATATGAACAAGGTACCTCCTCCTCGGGGTCTTCCCAATGATAGTCCAAGTAGTTCTGCTAGTGGATGTGCTGAAATTTCACCCAGTGTAAATAAACCAGAAGAGCATTCAGGTAAAAATCTTCCACCATTCCCTGCAAAAAAATGTGCTCCCAAAAAACATGCAATGCTTGAACATAATAAAAAGTTTTTGCAACAAATGCAGGCCAATAGAAAATTAGAATTTATAAATCCAAGTTATCAAAACCTTAATGATATGAGAAAAGATCGTGATAATAACATAATACGAAGAAGTCCACCACGTAATGCAGGAGAAAATGCTAAGTGTGCTAATAATGTGAAAATACCACAACGGCGTGCACCTCAGCAAATTAGGGTTCCAGAAGGTCAGACAGGAGAAAATGAATTTTGGAGTGATTTCTCAAATACAATTATGAGTAACATTAATGAAGTTGAAATGGAGCGAAACCCAGTATTAGAATTAATAAAAGAGAACGTTATAGATAATATTATTTTAGCAAATAGAAGAGTAAGAGAAAATATTGACATGATAGGGGAAAATATCGCAAGTACCGTGGACACATTTGAAAGCGGTGATTGCCAACCTCCCACAGACTTAATTAAAGAAAGATTATTAGACAAAGTTGGAAGTCTAGAAGCAGAAGATATAAAACCTAAATTTGAAGAAGTAAAAGATGATATTATTGGAACAGTAACAAGAAATATTGAATGTACGGTAAAACCAACATTGGACAATATAAAATTAACTGTACTGGACACATGGGATGACATTAATAATGAGGTTGTTCAGCCCACAATTAATGATATAAAAGATACCATTAATAGACATATAGGAAACCTTGAATATGATGTGATGCCAAAAATTGGAAAAACTATACAGGAGTGCGTTGCAGATAAAATAGTAGACATTTCAACTGGTATTGGAAAGACGTCAGAAACCATAAAAGACACAGTAATAAGTAATGTAAAATCAATGTATGATAATGTTCCTATTCCTAAAAATATAAAAGAAATGACTAATAAAATAACCCCAGATCCAAACGTAACCATGGAACAAAAATTAATAAATTCAGTTAGTAAATCAACATTTGGATTTAACATTTTTGGGTATGTTACAAATCGTTTTAAAAATTTAGGGAACACAACTAAGGCAATTGGAAGTTTATCTATATCGTTTGTGTTAGCAATCGGAGGAGTCGTTGGTCTCATTTCTGGAACTTATGCGGCTGGTGGTGCCGTTTTATTCTTAGCTTTGATTTTTGCGTATTATGCTATAATTAAATTGTTCAAAAACTCATTTTTAGGCAAGTTGAGATTAAAAAAAAACATTTTTTCCAAGAAAAAGTCTAAGGAAAATAAAAATGAGGAGAAACGTGTAAAATAGTATATTCATTGGGAGCAAATTTCATGAAGTCATGGAAGTAATATATAACTTAAATATATTTTATTATTGTTATCCTTAAAAAGGTTTTTATTATAATTTTTTTTCCCGTTTTTAAACTATTCTGTAATTTTTTTTTTGTTTTAGTATTATGAAATAATAACATTTCCCACAAACCATTATATTGTACATTTACAAAAATTAGTTAATACATATATAAATGTCAATATTTTTATGTTACTTTTACAAATTTTTTTTTTTTTGATGTATGAACATATTTGCATTAAATTTTACCACATTATATATACATGTGTTTTATAATTAATCTTAAGATATACTAGTGATTTTGATATTATTATACAGAAATAAAACATGGTTTATTCCTTATATTTGAATGAACATAAAACATTGTTATTGTATAATACCTTTGAGGATTACATTAAATTATTAATTAATTAGATTATTTTAAATTTAATACAACAAAAGGAACTTTACATTTCCGTGTAAACTGATAAACTTACTTTTTTTTTTTTTTTTTTTTTTTTTTTTTTTTTTTTTTTTTTTTTCGGTCTGATTGGCTAGCTATTTTAAAGCGCATCCGTATTATTTTGCTGTGTTAAAATGCGGCTGTAGGTAATTCGGCACCATGACCTGCTTTTTTTTTTTTTTTTTTTTTTTTTTTTTTTTTTTTTTTTTTTTTGTCTATTTTTCCATTTCAACGGTCTGTTCATAAAAGCTGGGAGTAAATTTTGTCAGAAATGGGATCAAGAAAGCTTACTTTATGCTTAATGGTCGATTGTGGATTTCTGCAATTTTTGAATTCACAAAAAGATGAATGTTTGTGTACATATATATGGTACATATACATTATTTATGTTTTTAACACAGCTAGTGGATTTACGTGATTTACATTAACACATAGGAAAGGAAAAGGATGATGTATCCTTTCCTAATGTTGCGTCGCTGGAAATTAAGATTTCCCTGATTTTTAAATATACGAAAAAGAAGTACTGCCTACTAAACGTAATTTGAATGTTTGTGAAATTATGTCATTTTTCCATAATTGTAGAGTTACAATAGTGATAAAATATGAAGACACGCAGGAAATTTACATAAAATAGCAAAAAGAGAAACATTCGCACGCTGTAATTGGTGCGTACAAGTAGAGGGTGTGAATATACCAATGTGTATTACGTATACATTGGTTGGTTGATATATGCATCTTAATTTATCGCGCTTAAGTTTCATTTGCTACGAATGATTTGTAGAAATATGATTAAGACCAAAAGCAGGGAAGTGTTGTTAGGTCATCGTACGGAAATATGGTTATATTGCAAGAGGGAGTGAACTAAGTCTATGATGCGCAATGAGTACCTACATAAGGATCTAATATATTTATTTAATTCCATGCATTATTGTGTGTTTATTTCATTATTCCATGAATGATTTTTATATATTAGGGGGTAGAACCTAGTCATGAATGAATTAATGTTCTTATTTCAGTTTTATTGCATGGTTGTAGTTACACACGTTGGTGTAAAAAACACAACATGTTAAGTCGAAGGGTGAACTTTTTAAATTGAGGGAAGGAAATCATACTGAAGTGGTGCTAACATATTCTTTTGGAGAAAAGCAATTGCAATTGCTGCACTATGCAAATCTTGAATTGTTAATAGAATGATATATGAATGTATATACAAGGGTGAGAAAGAGCCATTTTGTCCTTATATGGTGTTGGAAATCTACGCACATATTTAAATAATAAATGTGCATCATACTCTTAATTATACGATTATATAGTCAAATATATCTTAAAAAGAAAACAAGGGTTAATGCTCTTTTTAAATGTGAAACTGCGGGTTTATTTGTTAATGGGACATGTTTATGCTAATTATAATTTCACAAAAAAATTATATACATATAACAACGTAAGGCCTCCCCCCAAGAAAAAAGAAACATAGACACGCACACAAATATATATATGATAAGACACGACTTAAAAGTTAAAGAAAAGGCAGAATTCACTTAGAGCTTAAACAAATTTACTGATAACACTGTTTAAGATAGAAAAACGAAATTTGACAGTTACCTATATGTGTACATATATACATGTGTGGAATTATGAATTTACACAACGCTTATACTTTAAGGCTAGAAAACAAGGAAAAAGAAACTCAGTGTAGTGTTCAGTTGTGTGCTTATTTAAACACATTAGGTCTCTATGTACAGTAAAATTAATTCATCGTATATTATCTTATTATTCTTCTTAAGGAGATACCACCAAATAGGAATTCTCGCTTAGTAAACACAAAGCAGGAACCATAGACATGAAAACATCCGTTTTATGATTAATTATTGGTAGTTGCGCAGTGAACTGTATTAGCATGTACTGTTAAGTACAATTCGTTCAAGTGATACTGCAATTACTTGCTTATTTAATGGTAGTGCGCAAAAGAAAAAAAAAAACAAAACAAAGGAAAATATGTTCCTTTATTTTATAAAATTTGCGTTTCACCATAGAAGTAGATTTATCTCTTTATAAAGTGTAGTGAGCGAATAATTATAAAATCGTACTTCGTTTAAGAAACATATGTCTCATATTGCAGTACATAGAAATTGAACGTTTGTGTATGAATATGAATTAGAGACTGCCTTAAATAATTGTGAAAACGAATCATACGTTTTTGATGGTGTATAAGAGAGGAGTTAATGGGAATTATCATAGATTCAAGTTTTAGTAATTCTTTTTTAGGCGTCTTGAATTGTGAATTGATATGAAAAAAGGTAGTTTCTAATAAGTTGCCGGTTGAATAAGAGCAATCCGAATGTAAAGTGTGAGCATTTTATACTTCGCTAGGTAGGGGAGAAAGCGGGCAAAACTAATAACCCGCTCTTCGAAAAATACAACTGGCCTTGGAGAATGAATGAAGCCTAATTATACGTAGATATAAGTGTTAGATTACATATAGTGTTATTCCCATAATGAGTATCCTTAGAAAGGACTACATTTGATGTATCATTTTTCATATACTCAAATTTTGTAGTACCAGCTGCAGCAGCAGCTATCATAGTAGTGAATAATTGAAGCGTCTTTATAACGATCACTCAGGACACACTGCAGGAGGATCCTTTGAACTCACTATAATAAAGGTTAACAGAACCTTTTAACATACAGAATGGTAATATCTGATGGATGATTATTTAACTTATGATAAATGATATGTTACATTTATATAGTGTACTGTGTTATAGTCATATAATTTATTATAAAAGAATTTCCTCCCCTTTTTTTCGTTTGTTCAAACAATTATATAAAATTAAATTATGCATATGTACACGTATGAAGCCATTTTTGCACAATTTAACTTTCTAATGGAAAAATCAGTATATGTAATATTTATATACAAAGATATATACAAATTCGAATATTCTAAAGGAAAAGGGGAACAAAGGAAAATTACACGTAAAAAAAAAAAAAAAAAAAAGAGAGAAAACGAAAAATGCCATATAAAAATGAAAAAGGTCATTTAATTCAAAGGTCGTATGTGTACATAACATTTCACAACAACTTATTCCATTCACAGCTGTAGCATTATATGGATATATCACAATGTAGCTGTATTGTTGTTGTACTCATTTCACTTTAGTAAAAACTAGGGGAAGCTGGTATCTTTAGCAGTCATGTGGGTTGATATATTTATCAATATACCAATATGTCTGTCTATCATCACGTGTGTCTATCGGCAGCGTGGCTATCAATATGTAGGATTACATTTGTCCCTCTATTCCGAGATTCTTAACTGCTTTCACCTTTTATTACATAAAATATCTTTCATGGCAACCTTTTCTTCGTTGTTTATATTTCTGGGGAAAACAACTACAAATTCAATTATTAGATCCCCCCTTTGTGATGGATTATTTAAAATAGGCATTCCTTCGTTGGGAATTGTTCTTCTGGAATTCGGAGCAACCATATCATCTATTTGTATGATTAACTCTCTATTATCTAATGTTACGAGCTTAAATTTTAAGCCATTTAACGCTTCTTCTAAGGTTATTACACACTTAAAAATGAGATTATTGCCCTCTCTCACATATATATTATGTTCTTTCGTTTTAACTTTGAAAATTAAATTTCCCGGTTGTAGCCAAGGGGATAGCTGATCCCCTTCTCCATAGAATACAATTTGGGTTCCGTCAAGTAATCCTGGTTTCATATCTATAATTAGCAATTTTTGATCGTCATATAAACAGTGTCCATTATATCTTTTTCTCGTAACCTTCAGTCTTTTTTGGCGTCCACGATATAAGTCTTCTAATGTTACAAAAAGAGGCATTTCGTATGACATAGGTGTGTTATCCGTACTAGTGCTTGCTGCGCAAAAGGGGCAGGAGGGTATAGGGACATGCATCTAAAGTATGTATGGCATAAAACATTGGCGTGTTCTTCCAGATTACCAATAAAAGAAAGAAACGGTACACTTAGCACAGTAATCATTCGAAATGGTAGCTTTATTTTTGCTCTCCACTTCGTTTTTTGTTTTGCTTCATATTTCAATTTTATCATACGCGTGTACAATTGATATATATGCTGATATTATATATATCTTTGCATATTATATATATGCGCGCAAGGGACACTTCACTTGTCCTACCTCCTGGGGTCGAAGGGAAGTTAATCCTAGATTTCATGTTATTAATAAAACCTGAAACTTGTTGAATTCCTTCATTGAAGGCTGATTTCATCGAGAAGTTCTTAACTGGATCTATAAATTTATTGAACATTTCAGAGGTATTTATGTTGGTTTTGTAGAATGAATATGCAGGACGTTGGTCTACACCTTCTTCATCGTTATTTTGGTAAATTGTTAAGTTTTGCTTTAACGCTTCTCTACCATAGAGATCATAAATTTTCCTTTTATCTTCATCTGATAGAACTTCATATGCTTCAAGCACAATCTTGAATTTTTGTTCTGCAATTTTTTTATACTCTGGATCTACATGTCTATCTGGGTGCCATTTCAAGGTTAAGGCTCTGTACGCCTTTTTTAATTCAACGTTTGTAGCATTGCGGTTTACCCCTAATATAGCATAATAGTCCTGAAGAAAAGACAAGGAAAATAAGGAATGCAGTGTGCGCATGTGGCTTGTGTACCAGAAGTGAAGCTGGATATTGCGATTATTCTTAAATATTGGAAACACGATCACTTGTGTTATGTGGATACAGTGCCAAGGTGGGTATCGGCACTGTGACGATATTCGCACGACGTTAGCATTATATTTTGCTGCATGGTTTTTATTGGAACCTCTAAATTTTCAAAGTTATCCCTCTCAGGTGGTAGGTCATCATGTCTATCTTTTTCTGCTAAACATCTGCTATCTCTGAGATATACATTTTTTTTCAAACAGTGGTGATCACTATGACCCCATTTTCTTTCAGAGTTTCCCTAAAAATTGAACAAATGTCATAAAATTATACAATATAAATGGATAATTAAGTAATAATGTAGCAACAGTGTTTGCACATTAGTTAGTATGGGCGGGGGGTAAACGTTAATGTATGTCTCTAAACTTCTCCAGGATGTTTTCGAGTATTTTCTCTTTGCTTCGTTTGGCTGTCTTACCTGGTTAGAACCGAGTATAATCCAAATTAGGAAAGAAAACAAGAATAATTTAAGAGAAAAGGGGAAAACACATATTACTTCTTTCCTAGAGTGTTTCATGCAAATACCCATTTATCTCTATATCCCTTTCGTAAAATATTAAGTTACGCTATAATGGTTTCCATAAAAGAAACTGTTACTCACGATCTAGATAACTTTTCCTGAGCGGTTTCATTCCATAATTTAAAAATACACAGTGAATCACCGGTTTCTTAAAAAATATAATATACTCTATTAAAGGGAAGTAACGATTGTAACATATATATGTACATATATACATATACATAATGCGTAGAATGGAGCAGTATACAAACTGCAGGGGTTATGGGTTCAAGAACACATTGATTCACCGCTTAATTTTACAATTATATACATATATGACATCATTATATATAAAATCTAACTAATGATAAATTGTATTAACTAGGTGCTTAATAAACCCCAATATAAATAATTCGCCATAGTAATAAATAAATTACATTTTTAAACAAATCAGATATTAATGAAAATGGAAAGCATTTAAAAAATTTCTCAAAAACTTACTAATTAGAAAAAAATTCTCATAAAGTGAACACGGTTCTATTTTAAAATAAAGAAAAATTAAAAAAACTTTACAAGCGTTTATGCACTTTACAAGGAGATTAGTAAAAGGAAAAAACAATACATTTTTGGCACGTTATACCATAAATATTGTTATAATTATCTCACAATATGGAACACTACTAATATTTTATTTGTAAGCACAGAACTAATGTACGACTCCAGCAGTAATTTCATGTATACATCAAATATACTTATGCACTGGCCGGGCATTGCTGTTGTATATATGAATATTATATAAGTTCAATATGTATTTATAAATAATAACATCATGAAATATAAAATTTTAACCCATTATCGTTTTACATTCAATTCTTTAAAAGTTCACCACTGAGAAAAAAAGAAACATTTTTTTTGGACGTAGAAAATGAATTCGTTAGGGAATAAATTTTCAAGGCGCAAATATGCATATCTTGTTTTTCGTTATTTTTTTAAAATAAGAAAAATGATGACGTGGGGTTCCTTTTTTTATTTTTAATATTTATGTAATAAGATATTCATATATTCAACTTTTTTTTTTTTTTTTTTTTTTTTTGTTTTTTTTAACAATTTAAATAACATTTTTAATAAAATTATACCACATTTTATTGTAACAATGCGACGTGGCGTATTCATTGTGCGTCGTAGTACAACCATGTCATAACAACGCTGTGCAAGCAAAGAATCCGTTTTGATAGATAAATAAAGAAAAAGGGATGCGAGTAATGAAATAACATTATTCTTTACCGCACACGAAAAAAAACAAAAAAACAAAAAAACAAAAAAATAGAAATAATAATAAGAATTAGTGGAAGAAAAAGAAAAGGGCAAAATTGAGTTTGAACATGCACAATGAGTAAAGAAGTAGCACACACGAATTAGGCAGATTAATTATGGTTTGCGTCGTTAGGGGAATTCCATGTTGACCATATAAAGAGAGTAATTATAAAAATTTTATTAGGCATGATAATTTTATATGTTCGCCCTTTCATTCGAAACCTCTTCAACGTTGACCATTTTTTTGTATCCAGCGAGAGAAATAGCTGAATTAAGCTACGGAATGAAATATCTCGGACAGTGTAATTGCGTAGCTGTTCTGTTTATGTTATGAATAATACTTTTCTTTTGTGTCTTATTGTTGCTAATTTTAAAATATCTAAAAACCATTAATTATATTTAAACACATAATTGAAGAATTTATTTAGAGAAAATAGAATAAATGAATTGTTAAATGAGAATATAATTGCATGAGTAAATGTTTTATGCAAAAACACCCATAAAAACTGTACAGTGCGCTATAGTAAAATGAACTGAGAAAAATGATTTTTATGGATTTATAAAAAGAGTTTATAACGAAGTAGAATGTGCACAGTGAAACAGGGGCAACAGGATGATAATATTTAAAAAAAAAAAAACATGATTTGATAATGTATTATTTGTCTGAGCGAATCATATTTGCTTTTCTAATTTACAATTTCGTTAAATTGTTCAGTTCCTTCATAGTATTCTTCAGGAAGAGGCTCCACGAACAAAGGATTTTCATGGGAGAGTTGTGAAAATGTCGATATTACCACGCGTATTGGTATAAGTAGTTCGTGTTACTTTTACATGTTTTTTTTTACTGCAAATTTTACTGTTTGGTGTGTATTCGAATGTACATTTATTCACACCAGTTTTGCATTCTTACCTTTCCTAAATGGAAAGACATTTAAAAATATCAATCTGAGCATTTAAGACAAAGGGCACGTAAGTGCAGTAAGCGCTGTTTTATTCTATGTAGCACTAGGTGCTCCTATTTTGTAATGACGAAATAGGAAAACGGTGCTAGGCCATGTCTTTGATTGGGCATAGGGAACCTTCTACTTTTCATGTTATTCTGTGATGGAAGGAAGGTTAAATACAGGTGTGGGTGAATAATTAATAATATGCATGGTGGCTAGAGGTACATTATGCCCACCTTATTTCTTCAGAAAAATGTCAGAACATGGTAAGGAACACAAATAGGTTCCTTAAAAAAAACAAGTTACTCAATTTTTATGTGTGTAGTACCATGAATGAATGGAGCGCGCAAATGCATATTACAAATTACGCATTTACGAAATGCACGTGGGAAATGTTTTTATCTTTAGTCACTTTTTCCTTCTTAAGAGTCGCGCTACAAAATAATTTGAGCCAAAATGAAACATCCGGGGGAATCATAATATTTCGGTTATCTCATAAGTATGGATAGAATGAATTTCCCATTCTACTGGAATATTTTTAAATTTGTGGTGTCTCTTGAATGAAATTGTTACTATATGTGCATGCGACATATGTGTGTTAAGTATACGTACATGCTATATAAAGGGTAACTACGGTGATATGGATGATAATATAATATGCTTCATAATTTACATATCTGAGAATACATTGGAAAAAAAAGTATACGTATGAATAAAGTATATAATAAATCACAAATCAGGAATGATGAATGGTAAAATATAGGACGAACAAAATACTGAATTAAGGTGTTGATGCCTTGTGAATATTAAAATACACAAACAAGTTGGTAGATGTCATAAAAATATAAATTAAAAATAAAAAAAAAAGAAGAAATCTGTACAACAGTTCCCTTCATTGTGACAGTTGCATAAGGTCCATCCATGGAATAGGCATAGGAAGTGAGTATGGGCTCGTGTAAGAAATTTATGCTAGGGGGAACATAAAATATGGCAGAATGTTTTTCCTAAGGGGGAAATTTGAAGAGAGCACAATTCTCCCACACGACATCAATATTCCTATTATACACATGTAACAATGCGTATGCTATTAATTGTTCATCATCCGGAGGTAATAATTTCATTTGCAATAAATTTAATGATTAATAAAAGGAATTGTATATTCGAGTAGCATTCAGCTCATAACGTCGTTTCTTGCTTGACCAGTTTCGGAATGTACATTTTTTGGAGACTTTCACCGTTTTATGCAACACGTAAAACAAAGTTATAAGATATACAACAGATGACAGAACAATACCTAGTGGACTGTACAGTATAATAAATGCAAGAATAAACAAGGCGGATGGCAGAATTGGAGAAAGAATATGAAGACACAATTTCCGTTCTCCCCATAATATTTTGTTGTACGGATCATTTGCAGAATCATATGTCATCAATCTCATTAATTCGTCTTCGTACAATGCGTCTGAGGTTTTTAAGAATTTAGAAAGTGAAGAAAGAAAACCTTTTCTACTGTGTTTAGGGTTTAACCCTTCATATGGATCTCCTGATTTATATAAGTGTTTGCCATGCGTGTTCTCATATTTTGATAGGTGCCGTTTTTTGCTGTAAGAATCAGTGTTTTTTAATGCACCACATGTTCTATCACAAGCATAATGGTATTCGTTGTCATTATTTGAGTCGAAGTTATCAGACATATCATTATCATAAAGTGTTTCTTCACTGTCCCTATAATTATTGTCCTGGTCTTTGTCATCATAAAAATCATGGATATCATAATCTCCTACGCTGTTATCATAATCATTGTGATACTTCAATGAATATGAAGCCTTGTTGTAATCGTTTTTATGTTGCATTGGATCTGTGTAAATCGGCACAGCATTACTTTTCATGGAAGTGCTAAACTTATCGTCAATTTTTTGGTCACGTAATAGGGAAATTAATTTTCTTTCAAAATTGGCATCATCTTCGTTTACTAATTGCCTTGTGCTTTCTCTGCGGCATACACACTTGGCGTTCATATCTTGCTCTGTATTTCTTCTGAGCAATCTGCTGGTTCGTGTGTATAATGGACTGCATGATTGGTTTCCCTGGCCATAGGGCTTGCCAACGGTGATGTCCTGAAGAAGGGGAAAGCATATCGAATATTGTAAAGCGTACTAAGCAGTATAAGCATATATATATTTGCATATTTGTGAACGAATTTTTCCGCTTACAAAACGCGAGGCAAACAGCAGCGAACTATGAAACTCTTAAATTTCATATGCATATGGCTCTTACCTCATCAGGGTAATTCAATGTGCATATTAAAATGATAAGGATGATACAGTTACGAAGGAACTCCAATTTGGGTTTTTTTTCCTTCATTATGGATTTCTTCTTTAGTTTTATAGAACATCAGTGTTGTAAAGAATTGTTTACAGACAATAATTTCATGTCTGTACAATGTTCGAGTTACCACGAGCACAATGGAATATTTTTCACTTTCATACTTTATAAATATAAAATATCACTGATTTTTAAAATTATCTATAAATATTTGTAGTATTGAAAAATACACAATATGGGAAAGTATATTAAGCTAAAAGGTCGATTAAATGTTTTGCGCATGAACACTTGTGCATTTCTGGTAGGGCATAAATTCTCGAAGTTCGCATTATATATGTGCATATATATCTAGAAGCATGACACTAGTAATATATGTTATATGGAAGTATGTACAATGAGCACAGTGTACATAATAATTTGATGGAATCCCTTTTATTTCATGTAGACGACAGTTGCCCTTTAACAATAATCGGAAATGTGCATATCTGACTGTGTTCATGTACGTGCGCTTGTAATTAATTTTTTTTTTTTTTATCATAATATCACAGGAATATAATTTAAATGAGTCCGTGTTTATTAGTGAACATACTTTTTTTTCATAAAACATGGTAGAAATTAATATCCCCCATGAATTAGAACAAATACGGAGGTTTGGGAACTACAATATATAATACAATGCACTCTATCAAAATGTTGCCTGATTAATTCTTATGGCCCAACAAAGCGAATAATAAGTGAAATGAGAAAAATAGGAAAGTACACGGAGCGTAAATGAACAAATAAATAATGATGCGCAGGAATGAAGTGCACAATTGAAAAGGCAAAAAGGACGTAAACACCGAATGCTTTTATATATTTGCTAGTGCGAATATGTTAATATGGACATATCGGAAAATGTCAAAAAACGAATGTTCAGGAATAGTACACGGGAGCAATTAATTTGATTCATTCTGATTTCCGTTTGTGTCATTATATGCGAATTACGCATGTATGAAGAATATTAGTTCACATAGCGATAGTATACCCAGGAGTGTGTTCTCACAGTATTTTTATTTATGTGTAATGGAACTTTACCATACATGGACCATGTTGGGAAAGAACAATATGAAATATGTATTATATAAAATGTGAAAACGAATTTGAAATTTATTTTGCAGCATATCATGTTACATAGGTGTAAGCAAAAACATAACATGGCTTTCAAAGTACGTAGTAGTAGGTTAAGAAAACGAGTTTTATTTCTTTAGCAGCGATTTAAGGAAAATGTTGGAGGAAATATAATTTTATAAGAAGGAATATGAGTGCAGAGTTAACGCTGACAAATACAAAAAACAATGAATTAGCGAAATATAGAACTTAGAAAAATTGGTACTATTAGGAATAATTGGTAATTTATTTTGTGTAATGCTTTGTTTTACCTTTTTAAATACTATTTCTTAAGTCTGATGTAAGAAGGTAACCATAGAATCATGTGTCTTTACACATAAAAGGAATACAATATAGAATTAAAGAGGTAATACCTGTTATTGAACTGCATTTTTTCTTTTTAAAAGAGTGTGCCATTTATAGATCATTATTGAGTATAATTGAAAAGGTAACTTATGTGTGAGCAATAGGGGGAAGCCAGTGTACAGAAAAAGAGTTAGAAGTTTAAAATTGGAATAACCCAATGTGTTCCAATTGTGTTCGCATAAATAGGAATTATTTCATTGGATAATTATTTTTCAGCAAGTTCATAGTTGTATGTTCTGTGTTAAGTGCAGAATTCATTGAATTTCTCAATTTTTGACTATTCCAAATTAGTACTATGAGCAGATCTGCGCATGGTATGCTTTGACCTTCTTAGATTAGCGCAGGTGAACAAAGCTATCACTTTGTTTTGGTTAATATTTATGACGGAAAATTTACTTTATTACATTGGATGGGTATTTTCCTCCTTAGGTATGATATAATAGAAAGATATTTTTATATTCGGAATGATGTACTACTGTAGTGTTACACTTATTTAATAGTACATATAGGCGTTTGAACGAATAGAAGATGAGGACGTGTGCACACGCTGTGATGTACAGGATTAACATATCGTTTGAGGTATATTATGTACGCACGACTGAGTCAATTTACGAATTCCCATTTAATGTTTTTCTTTTTCGATGGCGCATAAATATGAATAAATGAATAAAAAAGAATACCACTGGAATGGTTCAAGGTTTAGGGAAAATAGTAAATCAAGGACTCTACTTAATTTTGTTAATATATGTTCCTGCTCCTTACTGTAACATGTTTCATTTTATATTTATTAAGGGAATTGTTTTACTTAGAATATATTGGATGTTGTTAATAGGGAATGTTATACATTTAATCTAAATTATATATTTTTTTTCTCGATAGCGTTTTATGAACGCACTTGTGAAACGGATGCATAATACGTAATCGCCATGAATGAAATATGCGAACGTACTGTCTGTTCAAACAAATTGAAATTATAGAGTTTCTTATGCTTGGGAGAATCAGGAATATTCGTTCTTATTTCTTAATTTTTATTTATGATTTCATCTTCCTTGATTTCAAGGAAGACGCATGTATATTAGTTGTGCCAGATTAAGCAAATAATACAGTGGATCACACAAGAATGGGTGAAATATGTTTTGTGAACTATTATATTAATAGTTGCTTTTCTAATACTTGAAGATAGAGAAAACGGTATATGCCTTTTTAATCATTTATGCTTAAGCATGAAATTCTTTCTCAATATTTTTATCTTAACAAATAATTATAGAGCGTTCTGGCATTATAAAATAATTATAATTAGTATGTTTTTATAGGAGCTTCTTAATATCAGACATGTCTAAAGGGTTCTTTTTATATGTTCATTTATTTAACAGTGTTAAATGTATCTATATATTTGTATTAATGAATATATGAGCATTTATTAAAGAAGGTAAATCCAAAATAGGCGTTAGATTTGTACAAAACATTTCTAACGAAATTTAAACAAATAACTCCTGGTAATCAGTATGAATGTCAGAACTATTTGTTCCTTTATTCTAATGCTCTTAAACTCAAAATCTCTGCAGATATAATAGGACTCTATGGGATGTTCTATCATAAGGATATAACTTTGGACTGCTACTGGTGAAAAAAATGTTCACAGATATATGCTATGTATGAGAAAGCATGTGCTAGAATTCAAAATCGTATCCTACGCAGTGAACTCCATAATATAATAGAAGAATATAAGAATAAGAGCAAATGTATAAATTATTGCAATTTTGCGGACAATAGTCCGTCATCTACTAATAGGGATGTTTCTCCTTTTATACAATAATACCTTAAAAATATAAAAATTGAACTTTCTGATATAGAAGAAAATAACAGTACAATAATGTATTATCTCCCTAATGTTGTCCTAAGTCCTGTGATGAAACTAACAATATGGTTGTTTCTTCTATTTGTATTATACAAGGTTAAATTATTCGGTCTACTCATTATTTTAGTAGATGTATCATATATTATTGTATATTTCACTCAAAACAAGATAAACACCATACATCTATGATCCATGTAATTTACCTACAAGGCAGTTTACTCTACTTGGATCACTAATATGTGGTCGAAGGAGAAGAAGAAATGTGTTCTTCGAAAATCAGTTCTATAGTACGAACTCATTATTTACTAGCTCTGCAACACTTGGTAGAACAGAGGACAATACAACTTATACAATACCTTACGGGGATTCAATGGATTGCTATGAAGAGTTAATCAATGAATGCACTAGTAGAGAACAATTCATATTAAATATGACAACTACATGAAATAACATACAAGTGGAATCCCTTGGGACAGTATTCATAGGTCCCGTTTCTTATATGTTTCGGAAAATAAAAGTGAACAGTACGAATAAATTTAAGAACGACACATGAATATAGAAGAAGAGAGAAGATCAACCTGGACAGTTGTTATCTACATTTTTCTGAAATACTGAATTTAAGGAATATAAGGCCGAGAACAGGAAGAGGGAACGGTTCACGAAGTACACTCAAAGAAAAGTGGTATATATATTAGTAATCCATTGTCCCGCAAAAATTGTGCAACTGCTATTAGTAAAACATTAGTTTTATGAAAAGAGTACCACCAAAAAAAAAAACAAAAAAAAAATACATTTCATAAAAAAAATGGTGGGAGACAATTCAATACATCAGAATAAGGGAAAGAATAATGTTGGAATATACGTGTATATGTATATATATGCTTGTATATATTAATGGGCGGAAGCTTGCTTTTACGTCATGAGAATACGTTGACTTCGGTTTTTCCTTTTTTCCTTTATGTAAACACATTATACAGAAGCTGGCTTAGACTAGAAGTAATATGTACATACATATAAGAACAAGGGAAGACAGCAAAGAAGGAGGGCATTCCAAGAAAATTAAACAGAATGCTTAATTTAATAATTGTTATAAAGGTACGCTTGCACTACACTTTTCCCCCCTTTCCCAATGACAGGGGGAAGTAGGAGAAGAAGATAATACAAAGTGTCACCTCCCTTTGAGTTACACAGGTAAGCAAACACGTAGAAATGTTCTACCCCTTTGCAATAGAGTAGTAATTGAGTGCAAGAATAAATCGCGATGATTTTTTTGTTTTATTTGTTAATAACACTATGAGAGGAGACAAAAAAGAGAAAATAATAAAACATGTATTCATTTATTCTTTTGTACTAATTTTATTGCCATTTTATTTGATTATTCTTTATACACCTACATACATATAATACTAGTGTTGTTACAATTGTATAACTATTAGAGGTTTCTATTACCTTGAGTAGTAGAAACTATGGTATCTGGTATGCAGTACAGGTGGCACGTTAGGGTATGATATACCTATAACCCATGATAATATCTACAACATCGTTTCTTTCTTAAATAGATACAATAACGTTATTTTATTTTTTTTTCTTTACTTTTGCAAATAGCCTATGAGCACTAGGTTCTCATATAATATACCTTTTTCCTTTTAGGAAAGTAATAAAACACCTTACAAAACGTATATAAGTCACAGTGGAGCTTTATATTTTTTTCGGGTATAATATATGTACCAAAAAAAAAACGTTTCAACATCTTTCCATAGAACATAGATTGAACGCAGGTTCTTATACGAATAGTGGGGCACATAATATGTATCATGAAATATGTGTATAGATAAACCGTGTAAGCGTCATATAGAAACGTAAGTTGTATGTACTCCTGTAATTATGATGGTTTAATACATTTAAAAAAAAACAAAAAAGAAGAACACTTAAATCTAAAACTAAGTACCGTGTGCAATTACATTAGAACGTGACTTCATGTTTTTTCTTATGAGAATTAAGTGCATTATTAATGAGAACATATTTTGCTTTTTTGTTCGGGCCAAATGAAAAATTTAAAACGTTCTGTTTTTACTTTGCTATACTATAGGGTGTGCTCAGAATTTTTTAAAAATTGTGATATTTATAAATTATTTTAATTCTATATTACGGCAATTACTTTAGTACAAAAGAAATTTAAAAATTACTTTTTCCAACGTTATTTTTTCTTTTTTTGGCTTTCCCTTGGTATAAAATTTTGTACACAAAATTCTCTATAAAGAAATATCTACAGCGGCCATGTGTTCTTTATTATTTTATAAACCGCCCTGTTTTCTTCTACTATTCTATGTTATTATTATTTGAACAGTACATAGTGCTTTTTCTTAAATGTTTTTTTGTTTGTTTTTTTTGTACTATATTTTATACAATGAACAAATGCAAAATGATGACATATTTGTACTAATGATATATATATATGAGTGTCTGTATATTAATACATTATACTAATACCTCAGGTGAAAGGGAAAAATACTTCTCTTGTTATCATGTTTCATATGAACAAAACAAGTGTACACAAGCGATTTCCTTCTTGGTTTCATTAAATAATTTTTAAGAAAGGGTAGAAAGTACACATGCGAAGGAATATAATTATATAATCTAATAGAAGAGTACTCTTCCATTTTTTTTTTTGTTCTTCTTAAAGCCGGAAGAATTACTATATTAGAACCAGCGTTATATTATATAAAAAGAAAAGTAAAGCTGCAACTATGGGTTCGTATTTATCTATAATCTTGCTTATTTTTTACTTTGCTATTCTTCTAATCCATGCTGCACAAGTAAGCTAAGTCCTTAATATATAAGAACAATTCTATATACACATATGTAACCTATAAATTACATGTTAGTAAATTGTGACTAAAGCTTCAGTTTACGTGAAAGTAATATTAAACGAATTTTTTTTTTTTTCATTTCCTCTTTTGCAGCAGGAAGCCAATACAGTGCAACACGGTGACGGGGCCGCTTACCCTAATGTGAAAGAGCGTATCTTGGAAAAATATAAATCAAAGCTCCCAGACGATTACACCAAGGATGACCTTTCAGAGGATCTCAAGAAGGAAGGGGTATTAAGAGTGTTGACAAGAATGCGCTGTAGTCTTAGTAAAAGAAACGCATTTGTTTTATTTTTTGAGTACTTGATGTATTTAGAACTGACGTACTATGCCATGATGGAGAGTTTGAGAAATTGGTTTTACGACATCTCTGAGGCGAATAATTTGCCTGATGAGTACAAGTTACAGTGGTGGGAAGAATGCAAGAGGGAGCTTCTGCGTGACTTGGAATGTATCGAAGAGGAGTGTGAGAAATCCTTCAGCAACTGTCTTGATAAGAGAAAAGGGAAAAATGTATGGGTCGCATCATTCCGGAATTTGTTAATTCGCTTGAACAAAGAAGCGCATGATAGTATTTTCCAAAAGAGGAATAAAGGGGTGAGTATTTTAACCGAGAGAATGGACAGCTACAATGGAGGCGCAACAGGGAAGCCTAGTACTCAAGGAAAAGAAAAGGCAGACGTAGGAACAAACAAGGGAACAACAGAGGACAAAAAGGAAAAGGGAAAGAAAGAGAAGAAGGAAAAAGAACATCGTAGGGAATAAGGGGGCGTCCTTGACTATTCGATGACAGGGTTACACACGGGGAAGGGAAACAAGTGGCTCCTTCCTGGGTCTCTGCACTCGTTTTCTATAATTACATCCCAGATTCTCCTACGACATACTTGGCTTTCCCCTTTCTTGAGGGGCCGTAGTGAGTTTTGTCCATATTGCAGTTTTACTCAGTAGAATGGCAACTGCGCATGATTGTGTTTTTATGTACTTGTGATAACCTATTTGTCATTTGCCTATTTTTTATGGCACCTATTTATGATTACACGTATTTGTGATTACAGCTATTTATGATTACACGTATTTGCTGTTACACCTATTTATGATGGACTAGTTCTTGATGGCCTATTTGTGATTACACCTATTTGTGATTACACCTATTTGTAAGTGCACATACTTGTAATTGCAACTATATATGATTAAACCTACTTGTCTTTGCCCACTTTTTCGTACGACTTTGTCCATTTTTTACCGCATAGCCACCATATTGCGACGCACTCGTAAAACTAGTCGTCAGCCATGTCCTGTGAATGGCCTGGCGCACACTCCACGGGAAACCCAATAGTTAGCGTAATAACAGGCATTAATGAAGGAATAATAATTCTTCATTCCTTAAGGTCATGCAGACCAGAGAAGAAAATGTGAATGTGCGTGGCATGGTTGTATATACACGTACACACATGTCTTTGCAACGCGCGCGTTCTGAGCATAGGACGTTGCGTTAGAAGGGTGTCTCGTGGTTTCACTCCGCTGCGCGGAACCACGAACGCAGGGAAAGTGTCCCTTTTTAACAAAGCGTGCCAAGGTGACGGCAAAAAAAAAAAAAAAAAACGGAAAGGAAACAGGCGACCTCCCCACAGTGTTCACATATAATTATATATGTATATAATACCTGCTCCGTAGTGATTACTGCTTTATTTAACTACAACAGTTTCGCAGGACCCTGTCACGTTCAGTGAAACAGAAAAATCGGGGCGCCTCAAGGGACGATACTAGCCTCGCCCAAAAGCAGGTGTGGAAACATTTCCTATGTAACACATCGCGATCATACGTCATGTATAATTATGTTTTGTGTTGCGCGCTGGACACACTTTCAATGCTTATTTAAAAGTTGCCTTAAAGGAAAAAAAAGGAATGAATCTCGCGAGCGGCCTATTTCTGTTTTTTTTTTTTTTTTTTTTGTTTTATTACAAAATATTATATAATTTGCAAATGTGTAATTGGGTAGCTTTTACGAACATGAGTTTAATGTAATTATTAAATAGGATTCCAAGTGCGATCGTTATGCCAAAAATATGAATAAGAAGTGAACAGATTCCCTGTACAAAAATTAGGTACACATGTAAGTACAAATTAATAATAATACCAATGAACAACATACAATACAAGGAAACGGTTATTTCATTTTGTCCTAGTGTGTACAGAAATATTTATTGGTACGTAATAAAATATTAGTTTTTTTTTTCTTGCTTGCTTTATTTCTGTGTTAAAATTATTCAAGCACAGTTAGCAGTTGAGTTATTGATAGCACAATTTCGTTCTTCTTTTTTTTTTTTTTGAGCATTGCAAGAAAAAAAAAAATAATAAAGAACGGAGCAGCAGTTCCCCATTATTCATATTGTACTATACCCTTTTCCCTTTGTTCTTTTGTCACATGCTCTTTTAAATGCTACCGAGGGGGGCGCGGTGGCGGATGAATCGCATTAAATGCCCATTTGATAAAGGAAGACCCCCTTTTGTATGAAGCTTTGCTACCATATAGCAATTACATGTGTAAAGGATATGCATAGTAGATGTGTGTAAAAGGGGTTCAGGGGATTGTATCAAGTTTGAGGGGGTTAGCGTTTGAATCATGATCACACGTTAAGGCATTACAGTGTCTATAGAAAATTTATAAATAAAAACACATACCGTACAATTATCAATATGTAGAATGCACAAAGAAGTGTTATGGACGGAATTGGAAAACGACGGACTTATCGTAATAAGGGAATGAATAGCAAGAGAACGATATAGTGAATAGGAAAATGGATC